GGATTCAAGTGTTTTACTTCCTGCTTATTGTGACGTAAAAATCGTCATTTTGCGTCACGATAAGCAGGAAGTCATATTTCATTAAAATCTTTAGAACTAAAAAAATAGGTCATTATTATTCAAGGGTGTTGGACCCACTCACCCTACAAGCCTATTACAGATCAGTGGGTGGGACTTCACTTGCAGAAACTGAAATCAATATCCACCATCTTGTTTGGAAGCTAAGCTAACAAGCGCTGTGGAGATAGTAAGTTATGACAATGACGGAAGAAACTAAACATGATATGGAAGAAGAGGATTTTGAATTTCTGCTGCTTGAAAACCGATGTTCATGGCTATCTTTATGATGGAGGCTCTCTACGGCTGATGGAAGAGCAGGACACACCGAGGCGGCGGCCTGTCGCGGTCGAGGACCCCGCATTGACTCTGGTGCTGGGCGGATTGCTCTTGCCTGTACTCTCGTTGCGTGCTACGGCCTACGGACACAGCCCGTCTGCTGCAGAGAATTTCAACGATGGCAATTTCTCCTGGAGGAAATCTCTGAATCAGACGAGCACACGGACGTTTGTGTTGTGATAGTTTCGCCTGACTAAACATCCAGGTATCATGCAGTAATTCACCAAACAGAAATAAATACAAACGAGGAGTAATTCACTAATGAGTTTGCCAATGTAACATTAACAGGGTTTGTTGTTGTGGGAAGAAGGAGGCAGGAACCGGCAAACATTTAAGCATTTTAATAGTAAAATGAAAAAAATATCTCTCTATCTCGATTTTTTTTTATATGAGCATAAAAAAAATGCGCTGGAAAAAAAATCTTGACGGTCTGAAAATTACGAGTCCTCCACTGTGGTCCGAGACCGAGTCAAGACCAAGTCTTTGAAGGGTCGAGACCGAGTCAAGACATCAAAGTATTTGAAGGAACAAGTCCCAGATGAGTCCGAGAATGCAAAAATCGGTCTAGAGACTGGTCATCACTAGTCTCTTTAAATGCAAAAGCGATGTGTCACACCCTGCCCGGTGCCCGCTCTTCAGGTTGTGGAGTTGACTCTCGTTTCAACTCCACCACGTTCGGCCATTTTTATAATTTGATTAGAGATATACGATTATACACGCGTTATATCACACGTTAACAAAATGTCAACAACGGAAGACTTGTCCATCATCAAGCCTTACATGTTCGAGCCGGACCCGAAGCGAGTTGAAAAAGACGACGACGAACCCGTAGAACACCATCTTCATATGGATGTTTTGCAATGGTATGTAACTGAATTGTGTTATAAGTGAAAGTCGATTATTTCTCTTGTTAAAACAAGCATACTAACAAGATAAATGACTACGGTCTAATTTTACCACTAAAAATCTGTATTGATAATATGATACGTTTAGAAAAGCATCAGAAAACACAGCAGCTAAATGACCATTGATGAAACTCAAGAACAATACTGCAGACGTGTAACGTTACTTAAAAACAAAGAAAGACAGAGGTACTGCTAAACCATGACCCCCATGTGTTTTAAGAAAGTAAACTAATTTATTTTTATTAACGATATTTACAGCTTATCGAAATGCTCTGTTCATTGTCTCAAAAGATAGAAGGAACTGACCCCTCATTTAGACGAAGTCAATCAGCAAACCCTTCTTTATATTGGCGGAGGTTGTTGAAGTTGTTGAAGCTCGTCTCTATGGAAGCAGCCGTGGCCAAAAAACATCTGTGCTGGATCAGGCACACCATACGTATGCCTGAACACCGCTTGCCCCACCAGGTCCTCTACGGTCAACTAATGGGTGCAAAGCGGTGTGCTGGAGGGCAAATGCGCCGCTTTAAGGACTACACCAGGGACATCCTAAAGCGAGCGAACATCCCCCTTACGCAGCTTGAATCTTTGGCACTCAACAGATCTGCTTGGCAGGTCACCTGTGCCTCTACAGTCTCTCAAATACACCAAACCAACCAAGACCGACAATCCGAGAGGCGTATCAAGAGACATCAGTGGGCGGCTGGCACCCCCCTGGCATCTGGTTTCCCTTGCTCCATCTGCGGACGAGAGTGCGGCTCAAGGATCGGACTCAATGCCCACGAGAAGTGGCACCAGCGGCAAGGTCGCTGAACCCACCCCCACCCCTGGAGCAAGTGTCATCATCGAATACGATCGACAGCTAAGAGACATCCAACAACCGAACATTTTGACTTACCCTCTCGTAACTTCTCCGTCCTTGAGCTTGGACTACAAATCGGAACGAGAAATAAAAATGGCGGATTGCTCGAAGTGTTGGGCCGGTTGTCAATGTCCTTATTTGGCAGTTCCGGTGCAATTACTGTGACGTAATTGTTCAAAATACGTCATAGAGAACAGAAAATTCGGACCAGGTTGCAAAATATGAAGAATATAATATAAAAATATAAATAACAGAATATAACGATATAAACAAAGCATATGAAAAGAATAATTTCAACTTTTCTGTGCTTATAAACACAAAAAGTGGATTTAGCATATGTCCCCTTTAAATGATTTATTATTGAAATGTTTATAATTAAAATAGTATTAAAATATCAAATAATTACTATTATTATACTTACATATTAAAATAGACAGTTGAATGTTTGGACACTAATCATTCTTTTTCACAGTGCTTTGTCTAGATTTCAGTTCTCACTCTTAATATTTACTCAACCAACTTCATGAGGTGCTGTTTAAATCATTTTAATGGATGAGTTAAATGCCTATGGACTCATTCAGTACTAACTATATAAATAAATACATCTTATGTTTACAGAGAAATTCATACTTTAAAGGATTAGTTCACTTTTGAAAAAACTTTTGCTGATAATTTACTCACCCCCATGTCATCCAAAATGTCCATATCTTTCTTTCCTCAGTCGAAAAGAAATTAAGGTTTTTGATGAAAACATTCCAGGATTTTTCTCCATATAATGGACTTACATGCACTGTTAGACCTTACCAGGTTTTTTTTACAGTAAAATACTGGCAACACTGTTGCCAGTTATTTACTGTAGAAATGCACTAAAACTCGAGTTAACTAAAAAAATACAACTTATTAGTTTTAGTGCCTTTTGACAGTAAATAACTGGCAATAGTGTTGCCATTATTTTACTGTAAAAAGGGACGAAAACTCCAGTTAACTAACTTCACTTGCAGAAACCATCCTAAAAGAATCAACTAAATGTATAATGCATTAATAATGTGAGCAAGGCATTATTGTGAACTTATTTAATTAGAAACAACAAAAAATAATTTTTGTAAAGAGATTTCCACCGGATCCTGCGACTAACACAGACAGTGCCTTTTAAATAAAGCAACACACAGCATATCATCGATGTTTGTAGATCTTCTCCTGGACTGAAGCACAGGCTCTACTCTTCAGCACAACGGTGACCCAAAAAACAATATTTTACAGTAAACTATAAACCTGTTTTATAACTTACAGTTTATTACTGTTAAAATACATTTTGTGGGAGTGTCTTTTTCTCTTACACTGTTAACCCTTTCTACCCCACAGGAAAATCCACACTACAAAGAGCAGAATCACTGAAGGAAAGAAAAACAACAAGAACAGAAAATAGAGAAACACAAGAACTACAACTGACTTCAGCCGTTACACATTATTACAGTTATTATTAACCAGTATGGCTTTATTTCTGTCATACATCTATAGAAGATGTTGTTGAGATGTTTAATTGAAAATGTTTGGTTTGAAGTTACCATCATAGAGATCAGTGTTTGCTTTAGTTGGTATGCTGATGCTGTAACATGAGATTTTCTTTTGACACTTTGAGCTGTGTTTTTGCAAGTCTCACTTATGCGGACACACAGTTTAGTAATGATTTGATTTGTCAAAACATGACAATCATCATGCTGTCTGTTCATTTACTAAATAATTCATTCTTACTCATTCAGAGTTTAATCCTCAACCAAAAGTGTTACATTACCACCACCGTGAAACCACAGCAATAAATTAATAAATTACTTAACATATCATACATAAACCAAAACAGCACTACAGTCTTGTAGAAACACCAAGATATCAAAATTTAGCACATTAATCTCAACAATGGTGGCAATTTTTTTTTATTCATGCAGCACAGCATGCTGGGAGTTTCATACAATCCTGGAACCCAGCATGCTGCATGAAACTTTTGAATGTTACCATTGTTGAGATTAATATTATAATTGTTGATGTCTGTGTGTGTCTGACTCAAGCAAGATATTATTTAAATGTTTTATATGATTACAATATTATTCAGAAGACATGATTAACCAACATATTGATTTCATGTTGTAGATTCACAGATTTTAATTTATAATCATAACTACCCATATATTCACAGAGTATAAACAGGAAAGATCTGAAAATCAGACATATCCAGAATAATTGTGATATTATCACAATAGCCAATAACACCAGATCAACTTCCTCTTGACTTTTTCTTGCTGCAACAAATGTGTTTTAAAACTCTTAAAAAAATGTGTTCTAAAAAGAGAGATGAATGTAACAAGTCCAGGGACAAGAGGAATAAGTTTTGAAATAACCGATCGTTTCGCATGATAAGACCCTTATTCATCGTCTGGTGTCGTTTAAAGACATTTGAAGCTGCATCTGAAACTTTTATTAACTGTCTTTTGGACCGTGTACCGTCTGGTTTCCATGTAAGTCCATTATATGGAGAAAAATGGAATGTTTTCATCAAAAACCTTAATTTCTTTTCGACTGAGGAAAGAAAGATATGGACATTTTGGATGACATGGGGGTGAGTAAATTATCAGCAAAAGTTTTTTCAAAAGTGAACTAATCCTTTAAGCACAATATAGTATCTCCAAATCCATTTTCAAGCATGTAAACATAAGCCTTTAGATCAAATCTATTTGCGATCACTTGTTTTGTGAGTTACAAATGTCCTTGGCAACAGGAATTCAATTTTCAGCTTTCATTATTAAACAATTTAAACATTAAATCTACACTTAATTTTATATATTTACCTTCTATGTTGAGAAGTATGATTCCAACAAAACTCAAAGCTGTGTTAAACTTCATACTTATTGTCTGGTGTGTATTCTGTCTGCTGTTTCCTCTCATGAGTCTCTGATTACTTTATTCTGTCAGTATTTACACTATACACACCCCCCGGTCACCTTACAGGTAAGTAATTATAAGGTTTGTCTTTCAGTTTAAGGTCACTTCACTACTCATTAACACATTACAACATTTCAAGTGCAAAAACAGCATGCTGAATGAATATGACTGAGCAGACCTACAGAATGTTATAAATACAAAAGTCTTCATTTGTTATTAGGGGTTCAAATGTGTAATTCTAATTATTGACCCTATTATAATTGTTAGGATTTTAAAAGATCAGCATTCTGCCCTAAAAGTGATTGGGCAGATTAAACTGTAAGTTGAAACTTTGAGGGCTGCTTTGTACTCGCACCATCTACAACGTCACCTACCTCGCCCAAATCGGCCTGACGGGGGCGCTGTTCCGAACAAATCTCGCTGGACCTGAAAAACTCGATGGATCCCAGAAGCCTGTGAACATTTTTAAAGAAATAAGCCACCGGGGGTCTTCATCACATTATTTATGTTTGTTGTTTGTTCATTGTATATACTGTATTACGCGATTATTCACACATGCACACAATATTCAGGGCATAAGATGGAACTCATTTGGGATTTGGATAGCTATGAATGTCATTTAGAAAATGGGAATGGCCAAGGGTACTCAAAAGCCTATCATTCCAAAAAGAAAACTCTGAACCTCGGTGAGTGCGTGTGGCACGTGATTGTAAGGGTATGTTTACACGACACTGTTTTCAAGTGAAAATGGAAAACTGATAACGGGTTTCAAAGTGCAAGGTTTTGAAAACTATGCCTTTGCCGTCTCTATGTAAAGAACAAAAACACAATTGTACTATTAAACATATATTATAAAAGATGAAATGGCTACTCATAAGAGTTTATTATGGAACAATGTATTTAGAAATATAAAAACTAACTGATGCTTGGAATATTTAAATAATAGAGTAAAAGAGATTAGATTTTCAGTTTTACATGCATATATCCAGGCAAAGATCTGTTAGAGAGATTTTATTTGGATAATTATTCTTGTGAATTTTGCTCAACAGAAACTTAATCTATTGTCCATCTTTTTTGTAATCGTGTATACACTAAGATTTTTTGGGTGGATATAGAACATTTTATCAGAAGGAAAACCAATATTATATTCAGTTAAATAATGTTGACATGTATCTGTTATTCAACTTAAATAACAATATTTTATAAAATTATATATTGTTTAACTTATTATTTTGAGGAAGTTCCACATGCACAAGAAGAAATGATAATTTTATTCACTTTCTCCAGGAGATCAAGGAATATAGCAAGAGATTTCCATGACGCATGCGCAAGAACTGAACAAGAAGTATTAGAAAAATAACATAGTTCTCGCGCATGCGTAGTGAAAATCTCTTGAACTCTCGTCTCAGGCCCAGAGGGAAGAAAAGGAATAGTCGAATAAAGTGTTTTTTTTTTTTTTTAGTATTCCCGTCGCTTGATAAACTTATAATTGAGCCACTGTAGTCACATGGAATATTTAAACATTTTCTTCGATGACTTTAATGGCCGTCAAGTTTTAATCCCTAGGGTGCCTATGTAGCACTGATCCACCTCTCAAATTTAATCAAAAATATCTTCATTTGTGTTCCGAAGATGAACGAAGGTCTTACTGGGTTGGTACAGCATGGGGGTGAGTAATTAATGACTTAATTTTCATTTTTGGGTGAACTAACCCTTTAAGAAGGAGGTGGTCTGTTTTAAATCCGTTGTCTTTGGATCAAACAATCTCTGCTGTTATCTTGGTGGGTCCTGAGCTGTGCCATAACTGAACCAATCAGTCTTTTCCAAACTATCTGACTTTGACCAGTTCTCTGTCTATTTAGGTTCATCTCTTGGGAGCCTGCAGGGCCATAAAGTTCTTTCTGGGGGGGTTTGTTAGCTAGCGTAGACTAGCTGGAGCCATCTTTATGGTTCTGGAATGTAGATTTTAGGTCTAGAGTGTTGAATTCTGTTTGAATGACTCACATGGAAGACTCAAACCCTACACCAAAGACGGATAAAAGGAAAAAAACAGATGACGATAAACAAGAGAAAAGAAAGTATTAGACAGAGCCCATTGACTCAGTGTCAAAACTCTAGCCGAGTAACATGTAGATAAAATGTCACACACTGTGCAAAGCAACAATTGAAACCTGCTAATTCACTGGCTTGTCATGTTGCTAAAATAATGTTGTGGCGAGCAGGATGAGGCTGAGGGACGTGAGGCCAGTGGCCTGAGTGATAATGAACGACACCTGTGAGATGCACCAGTCTCGCATCTCTCACGGAGAAGCAGGCATAAAGGAGGAGCGACGATTGTGAAGATTGAGAGAGGAACAGCCCTGATTTTATATTGTGATTCTATGTTATGTTTTGTGCGCCAGCAGTTGTCCGTGAGGGGCTGATTGCTTGTGGCGTTTTGTTTTTTTATTCATTATTAAACTTCTTGAACGTTTGCTGGTTCACGCCCCCTTCTTCCAATAACAACCGAACCCTCTTACAAATGTACTAGCAAACCTTATCTAGCATTAGGCCTACATATCGCTAGAATAATTACTTGAATTATATTATATATACACTCACCTAAAGGATTATTAGGAACACCTGGTCAATTTCTCATTAATGCAATTATCTAATTAACCAATCACATGGCAGTTGCTTCAATGCATTTAGGGGTGTGGTCCTGGTCTAGACAATCTCCTGAACTCCAAACTGTATGTCAGACTGGGAAAGAAAGGTGATTTAAGCAATTTTGAGCGTGGCATGGTTGTTGGTGCCAGACGGGCCGGTCTGAGTATTTCACAATCTGCTCAGTTACTGGGATTTTCACGCACAACCATTTCTAGGGTTTACAAAGAATGGTTTGAAAGGGAAAAGGATCCAGTATGCGGCAGTCCTGTGGGCGAAAATGCCTTGTTGATGCTAGAGGTCAGAGGAGAATGGCCCGACTGATTCAAGATGATAGAAGAACAACTTTGAGTGAAATAACCACTCGTTACAACCGAGGTATGCAGCAAAGCATTTGTGAAGCCACAACACGCAAAACCTTGAGGCGGATGGGCTACAAAAGCAGAAGACCCCACCGGGTACCACTCATCTCCACTACAAATAGGAAAAAGAGGCGACAATTTGCAAGAGCTCATCAAAATTGGACAGTTGAAGACTGGAAAAATGTTTCCTGGTCTGATGAGTCATGATTTCTGTTGAGACATTCAGATGGTAGTGTCAGAATTTAGTATAAACAGAATGAGAACAAGGATCCATCATGCCTTGTTACCACTGTGCAGGCTGGTGGTGGTGGTGGTGGTGTGATGTTTTCTTGGCACACTTTAGGCCCCTTAGTGGCAATTGGGCATCGTTTAAATGCCATGGCCTACCTGAGCATTGTTTCTGACCATGTCCATCTCTTTATGGCCACAATGTACACATCCTCTGATGGCTAACAGGATAATGCACCATGCCACAATGGTCGAATCATTTCGAATCAAAATGGTTTCCTGATTATGAGTTCACTGAACTAAAATGGCCCCCACAGTCACCAGATCTCAACCCAGTTGAGCATCTTTGGGATGTGGTGGAACAGGAGCTTCGTGCCCTGGATGTGCATCCCACAAAGCTCCATCAACTGCAAGATGCTATCCTATCAATATAGGCCATTATTTCTAAAGAATGCTTTCAGCACCTTGTTGAATCAATGCCACTTAGAATTAAGGCAGTTCTGTCACTTCTGCCCAACCAGAGACTGTTCATGTCACTTCTGCCCAGTCAGAGACCATTCACGTCACGTCTGCCGATCTAGACTGTTGAGTGTGAGTGTTCAGTGTGCTTTTCCCGAGCCAGTGTGCGGGTTGTCTGTTTCCCGAGCCAGTGTGCATGTTGTCTGTTTCCCGAGCCAGTGTGCGTGTGGTCTGTTTCCCGAGCCAGTGTGCGTGTTGTCTGTTCCCGAGCCAGTGTGCATGTGGTCTGTTTCCCGAGCCAGTGTGCGTGTTGTCTGTTCCCGAGCCAGTGTGAGTGTTGTCTGTTCCCGAGCCAGGGTGCGTGTTGTCTGTTCCCAAGCCAGTGTGCGTTAGGGGTGGGGGAAAAAATCGATTCTCGATGCATCGCGATGCGGACGTGGATCCTGAATTGATTCACAAATGTCAAAAAATCGATTTAAAAAAAAAAAGTATCTATTTATAATAATGTAATATTGACGGAACGCGAAAGACGGAACTCTGAAGCGCGGAAGTGCAGTGGCCGGACCGTCTGTGGCGTGCACATAACAGAGATGAGATGGCACGCGAGATCCAAACACCTTCCTTGTTAGGTTAAAAGCTGACGTGTGGAAATATTTTGGCTTCTGAAGTTGAAGAGGGAAAGGAGCTGGACAAGAGCCGCACTAGTTGTACGCTTTGTGGAATAAAACCAACGACGGAAACACGACAAATATGATAAGCCATATGACACCTTTCCAGCCAGAGGAGGAAAAACACTCGGCTGCACCAGTCGTTATATTATTTATTTACTACAAGTATGCTCCTAGTTCAGGCACACATTTATTTTCCTGGTCGTTCTTTGTAATGTTAATAAAATATATTGTACATTAATTCTTTATGGGTCATTACTTTGTACTTTTAAAGCAAATTATTTATAGTCACACACAAAAGATTCAGATAATCGATTTGTAACATTATAAATGTCTTATACTTTAACTTTTGATCAACTTAATTTATCTTTGATGAATAAAAGTATAGATTTCCCAATAGTATAGTATAGATCTGTTTCCCGAGCCAGTGTGCGTGTTGTCTGTTCCCGAGCCAGTGTGAGTGTTGTCTGTTCCCGAGCCAGTGTGCGTGTTGTCTGTTCCCAAGCCAGTGTGCGTGTTTTCTGTTCCCAAGCCAATGTATGAGTTGTCTGTTCCTGAGCCTGTGTGTGTGTAGTCTGTTCCAGAGCCAGGGTGCGTGTTTCACAGAGTGTAAAAATATGGAATATTTTACGGGAAAATACTAAAACGGGAAGACAGCGGGAAAAGAGCTAAAATACGTGAGAAATACCGGAAAAACCGGGAGGGTTGACAGCTACGGTTAGATGGCTCTATGTTTCGGGAATTAGCTCGCTCGAAGTTGAGCATCCAATGTGAAAAACTTAGTACAGGCTACGAAAACGATTCCTGTGAATAAAAAAAGAAAAGACATGCTTTTAGAATTGCAATATTGAAAATGTAAACCTATACCTGTATAAACACCCTACCAACACTGCTAATAACTTAAATTGATGGAAACATTGATGAAACATAGGCTATTGCGTTACCTGTTGCTTATGTAGTTACTTCTAAAAAAATCGTTTTTATTCGCTATGGGTGTGTAATTTATGTTTTCCAAAAAAAACCCATCAAAGTACAGTCAAGTTATGTTTACCACAAGCTTTATTTTACTCATAAATTGAAAAAACAAACAAACAAAAAAATATTATATAGCCCTATTTTCGGGATCTGATGTCACACCTGCACCACTCTATAGGTTGTTGTTGTCTTGTGTTTTCCCTTGTTTGTGTATTTAAGCCCTCATGTTTTCCATGTTTCCTGGTCCAGTATTGTTGTTTGTGCATTCTGATGTTAGTTAAAGGGGTCATATAATTGTACATGCACTTTTTCAAGTTGATTGTACTGAAATGTGTGTTGGCAGTGCCTGTACACAACCATCACATAAGGACAAAAATCCATCCAGGGTTTTTGTTTTAATCTCTTATATGTTTTTCCCTGTGCCTCAAATTGAGCTGTTCGCCCGGCCGGACGCCCCCCCACGATTGTTGATTGACAGCAGCGTTTCAACACATCCCTGCCCTGAGCAAGCTATCATCATAGTCTGGCGTCTAATCGATTCTGGTGTTCTGTTCTTGGGTGTAATAAGAACACAGCAGTCATTTTGATGTTCCTAAATCCAAACCGCTGAAGACGCAGTGGCTGAGTTTTGTTTTCGAAGGGTGTATTCCCCATGAGCAATGTCAATGCTTTCATGTTTGCGCAAACCATTTCTCACCAGATTGCTTTATTAACGAGCATCAGTATGAGCTGGTTTTGCAAAGAAGCTGCTCCTAAAAAAAGAATCGGTACCAATTATTCCAGTTCCTGCTGCACCTCCAAAAGAAGTGAGTGTTAAGTTTTATTAACCTTTATATTAATCTTTGCAAATCACTTGCACACTTCACGATGAATGCGGTTAAGGTTTGCACTTAGGGTATATTACGACATGTTTTCTATGTATGACGTTTTCAATATAATTCATAATTATTGTGATATTACAAACTGAATCCATATACATCAGTAAACACATAGCGTTCGTACATCTCTCCAAGTTACTCTACCCTGCCAGTACATACAAAGATAAATCAAAGTGACATTACGTTAACCAACCATTCAGAAACGTCCTGTTCAAGCCTTAATTGTTGAACTTCATTGGGGCCGCCATCTTGTTCCGAGTCCGGCTCTGGTTCAAACTGACACAGTTGCAGTGCACAGATGTGTCCTCAGAGACTCCCACTGCCATTCTTTCTTCAAAATATCCCCTTGACTGTTGTCAAGACAACACTCCACCTGCATTGTATCAAAATGCTGCAGAACAGAGGGGCGGAGTGAGCGAAGCTCATTATCAGTTAAAGTCATAATTTCGTGCTGAAAACAGAGCTGTTTTTGTCGAGGTAAAATTACTGTTTTCTTACAATACTAATAAGAATTTTTAATTAGAGTATATTACAAACTTTTCATTTAGATTTAAAGATTCTAAAGATTCACGTTAACTTGTACAAAAATGGCATTATAAGACCCATTTAAGTCATTTTAATGTTCGTTATGTTCTAAGTCTAGTTTAGTTCCAGTCATCGTCTCATTTTGTTCACTTTGGATTATGCAAATAAACTGGACATGGGTTCACTTTAACTCACCTTTAGTGGATTAATGTTACTATGTGGTAATACACGCTCACAGTATATTTTACAAATGTATATCCTGTGATAGCATAAATAAAAGCGCTGTTGCATTTTTTATAACTTTTAAGTTATTTTGCTCTGCTTTCTGACAATTATAAGCCATTTGATCGGTTATAGGCTTTACCGGTATGGCTGGATCGTGATAGTGTCGGAGACTCCTTGTCTATGCGAGATAATTTATTCCATGCAAACTGATCACAGGGCAAGTGCATGTGCAGTCATGAATATTATTTGTAGGATAATAAGACAACATCCTTCTGTGAACTTTCAGCACTGTACCACTGCAGTGGGATCAGTTTAACCACTGTTTATTGCGGTGTAATTACATTAAATCATTTGTGTTCCATCCCACATCCACAGTGTTGTAGTCGAGACCACCTCACTAGAGTCCGAGTCGAGACCGAGACCAGAGACAGTCGAGTCCGAGTCGAGACCGAGACCAGTGAGGGTTGATTACCTAATTTACTTTTATTTACTTGGAGAAATACTTTTTTTTTTTGTACTGAATTTACTTTAAAAAATGTGATCAGTTTTGGGTAAAAAGGCCACATAGTAGGTGGTGTTAAAAGTAATTTTATTACAATTTGTCATGCGCAGTTGCGCACTAGAAAATCACCAATCACTGGGCGTGTCAATCAATTTAAATAAATATTTTATTAACATACATTAATCATGAAAAATATTTTGAATTGAACTCGAGTGGACTCGGGAATAAGTCCGAGTCCTAAAAAAAAAATGTTCGAGTACGAGTCAATTCCGAGTCCAAATGGACACGAGTCCATGACAAGACCAAGACCATTAAAATATGGTCTCGAGACCGAGTCCGAGACGAGTCCGAGTCTCGAGTACTACAACACTGCACATCCATTTTAAGATATCCCACCACACAGGTTATACATGGTCACAGTTAGATGGAGAAGTGATTTTCTTTAGAAAGCAATAATGTATGTATAGTATGTATGTATGTATTTATTATTTTTGTCATCCCAATACAATCACTGGGTTTTACCAGGCCAAACATACATTACAAACATAGCCTACATTAGGATAAAGTCATGAAAAACAAAAGCAGAGGATACACACACACACACACACACACACTAATAATTAACCTTGTTTATTATATCATAAAATATTTTTTATACTATAAATGCATCAAATGTGTTTAAATATAAATACAACACACAGTAGCCTATATAAATGGTTTCTGCGCTCAAACATGACGTTTTATTTTATACAGAATCAACATAATTAGATGTGGTAGTTTTTTTCAGCATTTTACTAGACAACAGGTGACAGGAATTAAACTCCAATAACCTCTGATAATTTATTTAACTTGTATGCGTTTTCTGTATCTAAATATCGATGCATTCTTTTGTGATTTAGGAACATGACTTTTATTTTGGTCTGGATTGGAGACGTCAGTAGGCTGCGACGCGATCTTGCGTCTGTCATACAAACAAGAAAGGTTTGTGTTTTTAAGTCCTTAAATCGTATAGTTTTATAGTGTTTATAAGCGATTTAAAATGAATAGGTTATTACTGCATTTGACATTGCTATGCTTATTCTACCAACGTCGAGAGCGCATCCACATGTGTATGAAGGTAGATTTGTGTCTTTATTATTCAATCAAAAAAAATGTTGCTTCAATCAAAAAAAATATTTTCAATTAAAAAAACCTTCACTTCAATGAAAAAAAAACTTTTCAATCAAAGAAAAAAAGTATTTGAATCCAAAAATATATTTGAGACTCAAAAAAATACATTTGAACACTGCTTTTCTTTGATTGAAAATGTTTTCTTTGATAGAAGTCCGGTTTTTTTTGTTTAAAGCAACCTTTTTAATTAAAGTAACATTGTTTTTTGATTGGACCATATAATGGGTAGGACATTTGTGTCTTTATCATTCAATCAAAAAAGAAGTTGCTTCAAACAAACAAACAACAGAATCAATACAAAAGTCACTTCAATGAAAAGATAAACATTTTCAAATATAGAAAATCATTTTTGAATGCAAATAAAATATTTGAGACTCCAAAAATTGCATTTGAACACCTTTTGTTTTAATTGAAAATGTACTCTTTGATTGAAGTAATCTTTTTTGTGTTTGGGCCATACATGGGTAGGACATTTGTGTCTTAATCATTCAATTCCAAAAAAGTTGTTTCAATCAAAAAAAAAATATTTTCAATCAAAGAAAAAACTTTTCAAAAGCAAAAAAAAATTTATTTACCTCGTGTATAAAAAAAGTATTGAAGAGAATGTGTGTTTTCGTTGTTTTTGTTTTTTATTTGAAGTGAAAAAAAAATAGAATTTCAAATTGTTTTGATTGAATCCTTTTTTTTTTTTTGAAGTGCAAAAAGTTTTGAAGTTCAAACTTTTTTTTGATTGAATCATTTTGACACAAACGTTCCGCAGTGGGCGGGTGCTTCTCTGTTGGTCAGACATGTTTGATTGACAAGTGTCTACACCAACGACATCTTTCTGACAAAAAAGTCATGTTCGCCACTCGCCAGCAGCTTTTTTAGAGGGGATAAAATCTTTGCCTGGCAGGGGGATCTGCTACTCGACCGGCCACGGATATATGTGCCTTATATGCACTGCATTATATAGCGCCTGCCACTCGAACTTACACAATATTTACAGTAAATGCAGCGCATATTCCCCGACAGAACGGTACGCACAGGTCAATATTCACCATTAACCAAACGCTTTTCACCTGCCTAGCCACAAGATTTCTCACTGTTTACACCTATAAGACACTCCTAATGGTAGGCCTACACGAGAGCACACATACAGTACAATACAGATCTTATTTACACATTTATCATCTGATCATATATTTTATTCGTTCTTTTTGCCCGTATTGGAGCGCGTATAATAACGTGCAATCCATCTCTTATTTACTTTTTTGTCATCTTATATTATATTTTATTTGCTCTTTTTATGCGTATGGGAGTGCGCTCGCATGGCTCTATTAAGCGTTGCGCCGGCCACACCAGCCACACGATCTCTCTCTATTTACACCTAATGGTAGCTACACGAAAGCACACATAGTGCAATACAGATCTCATTTACCCATTTATCGTCTGATCTTATATTTTAATCGCTCTTTTTATGCGAACGGGTCGTGGCTCTAAGCATCGCCAGCCATACCAGCCACAAGATCTCTTATTACACCCATCAGACACTCCGATTGATGCACATGTGAAAACAGACAGTGCAATCCTGCTCTTAAGTATCTTTTTTGTCATCTTATTTTATATTTTATTTGCTCTTTTTGTCCATAATGGAGCGTGCGCGTCACCTAGCGTCGCGCCTGCCACAAGATCTCTCACTGTTTACATGAGACACTCAGATGAGAGCAAATAAAGTCCAATCCATCTCTTATCTACCTTTTTGTAATTTTTTCTTATATTTTATTTGCTCTTTTTGCCCGTATTGGAGCCATCTTCGCAGTAGTGAACGCGCCGAGAGAAATGCTCATTTCATATGGATTAAATATAATCTGAGAGTAGAATAATATTTATTTTCGTTTTGAATTGTTTTGTTTAAAATTAGGCTAGACATTTCTACCTTTCTAGATGTAGCCTTTTTATCATGTCTTTGAGAAACGTGCAAAGCAAAAAGTTCATGATTTTATTGCTATGCCTATATGTTTGCTTTGCTTCTTATTTATTAAATCCTGGGAATTGGTTGATCAAACATTGATTAAAATCAAGATGCAATTTATTAAAAACGAAATTCACTTTAAAGAAAGGCTTTATTAAAAAAAAAAAACTTAATGGAGTGGTCAAAATCATTCTTCTTCAGAATGTCAATCGGAGAATCACGCAACTATGAGAAATATTGCGAAATCTTGTGACTGGCGCACCACGAAACGTGCTCCATTATGGGACAAACGAGCTAATAAAATATAAGATAAGATGACAAAAGGGTAAATAAGTGCAGGGTTGCGTTGTCTCTGTGTTTTCGTGCATCAATCGGAGTGTCGGCTATGAGAACAGTGAGAGATCTTGTGGCTGGGGGGACGGGTGGGACATGTCCCCATAGATATGTATGCATGTCCCCACCACTTTTTGCCAGGGTCGATTTTGTACCCACCACTTTTGAAACATCTCGCGGCGCCTACTCGAAAGAGAAAAAAAATAATGAATGCGTCATTGTACCCAGCACTTTTGAAAATGCTCTTCCGAATACGTCTCTCCGTCCCCCAGCACATTTCAAACCAAACCAAACTGACGCCCGTACACAAGAGCAGGATAACACTGTCTGTGTGCTCTCGTGTATTAATCGGAGTTTCTGATAGTAAACAGTGAGAGATCGTGTGGCTGGTGTGGCTGGCGCGATACTTAGAGCCACAAGATCAAATGATAAATAGATAATATCCTGTAGGGGTAAAACTTGCTGGCGAGTGGCGAACATGACTTTTTTGTCAGAAAGATGTCGTTGGTGTAGACACTTGTCAATCAAACATGTCTGACCAACAGAGAAGCACCCGCCCACTGCGGAACGTTTGTGTCAAAATGATTCAATCAAAAAAAAGTTTGAACTTCAAAACTTTTTGCACTTCAAAAAAAAAAAAGGATTCAATCAAAACAATTTGAAATTCTAAATTTTTTTCACTTCAAATAAAAAACAAAAACAACGAAAACACACATTCTCTTCAATACTTTTTTTATACACGAGGTAAATAAATTTTTTTTTGCTTTTGAAAAGTTTTTTCTTTGATTGAAAATATTTTTTTTTTTGATTGAAACAACTTTTTTGGAATTGAATGATTAAGACACAAATGTCCTACCCATGTATGGCCCAAACACAAAAAAGATTACTTCAATCAAAGAGAACATTTTCAATTAAAACAAAAGGTGTTCAAATGCAATTTTTGGAGTCTCAAATATTTTATTTGCATTCAAAAATGATTTTCTATATTTAAAAAAAGGTTTATCTTTTCATTGAAGTGACTTTTGTATTGATTCTGTTGTTTGTTTGTTTGAAGCAACTTCTTTTTTGATTGAATGATAAAGACACAAATGTCCTACCCATTATATGGTCCAATCAAAAAACAATGTTACTTTAATTAAAAAGGTTGCTTTAAACAAAAAAAACCGGACTTCTATCAAAGAAAACATTTTCAATCAAAGAAAAGCAGTGTTCAAATGTATTTTTTTGAGTCTCAAATATATTTTTGGATTCAAATACTTTTTTTCTTTGATTGAAAAGTTTTTTTTTCATTGAAGTGAAGGTTTTTTTAATTGAAAATATTTTTTTTGATTGAAGCAACATTTTTTTTGATTGAATAATAAAGACACAAATCTACCTTCATACATGTGTAACAGAAAAGGTGCGTCTCATTTCGCTCCTTAAATCGTGAACCAGTTTACAGTAATCATGAATTCGGTAATTTTAGCAAGTAGTGAGGGGAAAGAGTAAATTAAAGCAATTGTTTCGCATGATGATTCACTGTTTAGAAGCGCTCAAATCATCGCACGGTGACGACATCTGCTGGTCAAAACAGTGTAAATGCAACAAAATCCTGTGAAATTATAACTTTTACGAACCTGTAGCTAATATTTTTATTCAGATTTAATCTATTAACTTTAAAAGCAAATTATTAAATATCAAATATAAATCATAAATACGTTTTGAAGTAATAAGATCATTTAAGGTTGTCACTCCAGTGTGCTGAGTACTGAACTGAGCTGATTGAGACACACTACACAGATTTAATTTGGATTTATTTTTCTTTCTGTTATTTATTTTCATCTTAAATATGGCAGAGTATCCAAAAACACAGAATAACTCCTGCTGATGCAACTCATAAAGATGGCATTTATTAAAGAGGAAAGTGAAGACATCAGGATTGAAGAAGCATTCGGCGTAAAACATGAAGATACTGAGGAACAAATAGGTTGGTTTCATTCTCACAGCTGAACTACAACCTCTTTCAACCTCTAAAGCATCACATCAAAATTATTTGTATAGCACTTCACAATATACAGTTTACACCATATTACACATCAAGCGTAGCCATCATTTCAAAAGTGAGGGGGACAGAATGTCAAGAGTTATACCAGTTTTTTCTGACCTTTTGTCTAACTGATGGGTTATATTTTTAATCATATCATCTTGCTTAATTGGCTTAATATGATATCTATATAAGCAGGGTATTTTTGACCCTCTCTCAAGGTTAACTAATCGTGAAAAGTGATGGTTATAGCATTATTTCTGTCAGGACCACTACCATCAAAGATGAATAAGAATGATCATACAGTTTGGATTGGCGGTATGTTCTGATCTGGGCAAGAACTAGAATATTTTAAACTTGCGTGTGAAAGGGTTAAGGGCCAATATTTGGCCACATGATTCCATGGGGATATCAACCATTTTTTTAAAGAAATACATGCATCATCTTTTCTGTCAAATTCTTAAATTAAATCAAATTTAACTAGAATAATGAGACACTGGGCCTTTTGCTAATCAAATAAAATTAGTTTCATATTCATTGAGGAATACGTTTATGGATACTTGGTTGAAAAGATGCATCTTTGGCTTAAATTGAGATTGTCTGAGTCCCGGACAGTGAAGGCTATTAAAAGCGTTTAGGAGACCGTCAGGAAAATTATCCACCTCCTTATGTGGTTTGCAGTTGTCAAAGTACTATCAGCAGGTCAAAAATTTGTAACCGAAATCATATCTTAATGAACTTTAGGCCATTCAAAACTTTAATTACCAGAATTAACACAAAACCTAACATGTAGTTAGTATAGTGATGATAAAATTGGGTGAATGTAAACCTATTTTTTGCAACTAAACACCACTACATTTTGAACGAACTAAAGCTTATTTACTGACCCTGCAACAAGGTTGAGGAAGGCTGTTCTGCAAATGTTAGAATTGTGATTATCAAAGGACAAAACACTGACAAAACAACACAGTACACCCAGGTACTTAAAGGGTAACTAAACCCCTGGTCAGAGCCTGACTCCACCCACTGGCAATATTTGAAAAATGCTGAAAAAGTGGGCAGACCCCAGTGGAGATAGAGGGGACGAAATAGATGCTAAAACACTCTATCCTGGGGTCCGTTTCCCGAAAGCATCCTTGGCCAACTATGGTCGCAATCTCCGTCGTTATCAGCATAGTTCAACGAGTCGGTGTTTACCGAAACCATCGTTCCAACGAACATTCGCAAACAGCATTGCAAAGTTGTGTGGTTTGAACGACAGCTCTCGACCTATGGTTAGAGGCATCGTTTCTATATTGCATGACATTTGGAGGTAATAAATCCTTGTCTTTAGCAAAATAAGCAAGCTGACGTTCAGCACAACCGGTATCTTTTATTTAATACATACAAATGGAATTTACGTCTTTTAGTTTGTCAAAAGATTTGAAGTAACGTGTTTGAAGAGTGCGCATGTGCGAACGTGATAACTATGTAAGAACGAGCCAAATATTGAGTCTGGTAATAAAGCAAAACAACTGAGAACAAGTAGAAATAGTCCTCAGATGACATGTCTGTAATTTATATAAAACAAATCTAGCGTTAATTAGAGCTCAAACAGTTTCATTAAAGGTAGTTATTACTCCACCACGTGCGAAACCAACGTGGTTGAACGATACTTTGCGACAGTGGGTTTCGGGAAACAGCCGTGACTAGCTAGTTGATTTTTCCAACGATGCATCGTACTATGGTAGTGAATCAGCGAACTACGTCGTTGTACGGGAAACGCACCCCAGATCGCTTTCAATACTAGTAATTCCAATTCCTGACTCCCTACAGTGGTTTTGACGAAACAAGCTGGTTTTCATACTTCCAAGGGCGTAGATTCTTACAGATCATTAACTAAATAAAAGTTGGTTTAGTGTTTAGTTACTCTTTAACTGCTGATGTGGCATTTAAAAATGAATTAATTCTATACGGCATCATTATATATTATTATATTACATACATTTTTTTCTGCTCCAAAGCAAAATCCACCATATTGTGTATGGAACAATATTCTGTAGTTTAAAGGGGTTAGTTTATTCTGTCAAAAACAGTGCAGCGGTTCTGGGTTCTACGTCAGAACGTAGCCTCGTTCTTGGCTGACTTGTGTCAGCATCACAAGTATGCGTCGGCCAATAGTGAGGCAGCGTTTTGACGTAGAACCTGGAACGTGTATAGCGTAGCAGACTGACATGGAAGAGAGGAAATTGTTGACTAAAGTCTTTTATTTTGCGCACAAAGTTTTCTCGTCACTTCATAAAATTAAGGTTAAACCATATTTAAGGTTAAACTATTTTAACAATGTAGGCCTATTTACCACCTTTCTGGGGCCTCGTTTATAAAACTTTGCGTAGGATTTGCGTCAGAAGTGGCGTACGGATGAAACATAGGACGTGCGTGTGCACAGAAATATTTGGATTTATAAAACCGTGCACACGCACATCCTACGCATTTTTCTCTTAATAAATCACAATCAATTCTAAATGTAGCGCAGCTTTTGCGGCTTCATGTCACGCCCATAGTTGCCCATAAACAGTTGTGAAACGCCCACAAGTTCATTATTCATCGATTGCGAAATCATGTTTAACACAGAGAGGAAATAATAAAAACATAACTTCACTCAATGTGAAGTAGAAGTTATCGTTGGCGAGGTGGAAAAGAGGAGAAAAATGTTGTTTGGAGGGCACAGTGTGGGCATTACTAATGTCAAAAAGGCACTTGAGTGGCAAAAGGTTGCAGACGCCGTAAATGCTGTAGCCTCACAACCTCGGACTGTGGCCGAAATAAAAAAGAAATGGACGGACATCAAAGTCGAGGCATAAAAGTGTCTAGTCATTAATTCAATCAGAGAGGTGGCCAAGGAGTTGGGCGAAATCAAGACTGTCCTGACTGAAATAAACTGCACAATGAGGGAATTCTTGAATAAACAATATATTTTTTCCACACCTTTTGTTGTGAAGTTGACACGTTCACTCCAAATCCTTCCATTTAATTTCCACATCTTCTAAGAGCGCAATATCAGCCATTGTGAGTCATTATACGCATTGTGATGGGGCATTTTATTTCCATTCATTTAATTCTGCATCTGACAAACTACGGATGTCGGTTTTAATCTACTTGGAAATGGGAAATAGTTCAGCGCAAATGTAATTTCTTGCAGCTTTCTGAATGGTTGAGACATGCGTCATACGTTATTTTATCAAAATAAAACAAACTAAAGGCATATGCATGAATACCATGATTCCGTAGCTGATGAAGACATTTTTACTATGAAAACAACTTTCATGTGATTGGCATGGTTTTTTCAGTTAGCCTAATAGCTGGTTTGATTTGCATTGAAAGATGATCTTATGGAAAGTACCCCATGCCAATCTCTAGGTGTGGTGGAAGGTGTGTGATGATGTGGGGATATTTTAATTCCAAAGGCCAAGGGAACTTCATCAGGATGCATATTATCCTGGATCCATGAAATAACTGGCTTTTAAAAATAAAAATCTGCCTGACTCTATGGGAATTTAACATAGGGGGCAATGACTTATGCACCCTGTATTTTAAGGAAAAACATTTATTTACATTATTCATTCACAAAGAAAAATTGTGTCCTTAAAAGTTTTCCTCATTTTTCTAATTAAGGCATTAAGATCAATATCCAAAAGATGATTTTTTTATTCCTCTTTTTAGGCAACTTTCGCATGGGGCAAACACTTATTCACACCACTGTATCTGACCTCAGTGATGGGCGATTTAACCAGAGCAAATTACAGTGTCTGCGAGTTCACACACTTCTTTAACTTTAATTTTAGTGATCTCCGACTGGCGTTAGGGTTAGGTTAGACGATGTGAAAAATAGTCTTAGAAAATGTATGATTAGCCTTAGCTTGCACTTTTAAATTTGCTTTGATGTCAGGCACTCTGGCTTCCGGCAAACATGTGACTATGGTGGCTGGTGTCTCTATTTTCACATTTTGTGTTATACAATCACCAATAACTAGGGCACATTCAACAGGATTCTCAGTGGGTTTTCTCTGAGTGTGAAGAATTTGTTATTGCAACCGTAATGGAAGAGCAGTGTTTTGTTCCACGACTACAGCGTCTCACAGTCACCCAATTGCCCTGCTGCACGGGCTCTACAGCTGGAACCGAACAATGTACAGAGTTCACTAAGCTAGTCGCATCCAAAGCAGTATCTAAAGCTCATGCACTCTTACTATCTTCGATTAAAGCCACACTGTGGAACTCTTCAACCTTTATAATATATTAACAAAACCCATTGAGATGGTACATCGACTTACAATACGTTGAATGACGCGTCTGCCGTCTCTTGAAGTTGTCTGTATCGCTTTTACTAGCACTTTGTAACTTCGGGTTTCGGGTAGGAACCCGAGCAAAATAAGAACTACAAAATTCGACCGCTTTACGGCATACGTCACTTCCCCCACCACCCCAAACTTCCTCAGATTCTGACGTTAGTGCTCAGCTTGCGTTTGATTGCCATCTGTATGTTTTTGTCATGGCCGAACAACAGCTACAAGGAAGAAGGCAACGGTTTATCAGAGGAAACTAAAAAAAGAAAAGGGGAGAATGACAAATTAAAAGCCAGGACGAGGATTAACATTGGTCCAGCTTTCGCTTCCCTCGCTGGCGTGAGCTAAAAGAGGAAGGGTGCTCGACCGATGCGGACGCTTGCCTGCACACAATTGCCATTTCCAAGGTAACCCAGATCATATAAGCAGTGTAGTATTTTCTGGCATTCCGGCCACAGACGATTCTGCATCGAATCGACAGCGTACCCCCGCAGACCTCTCTGCGTCGACGCGAACCCCTCTCCAACCCCTCCGCTGTAACTCAACGTGCACCTACAAAAATTTGTAACTACGCATCGAGGCGACGCAGACAGCAAGGGCTGTGATTGGTCAGATTAT